TTAGTCAATTACTGGCGTTTAATGAGGTGATTACGGCTGGTTAACGAGGTGCCTATGGGTGGCTAGTTAATCGATTAGGGGTGGTTTATGAGACAATCCCACGTGTCTAACGATCCTCCCCGCCCCTGTCCCCGCAGCGGAGAAGGTGGACGTCCTGGCCGGCTCCTCCAAGCTCAAGGGCTTCTCATCGTCGGAGTCGGAGAGCAGCAGCGAGTCCAGCTCCTCCGACAGCGACGAGTCGGACTCAGGTGAGCGCTTCCCACCGCTCCCTCCCGCCCTTCCCGCCCTTCCCCACCCTCCCGCTCCCGCTCCGGACAAATAAACTCGTTTTCAGTCCTGGTCCAGTCTTTAATTGTTCTTTTGAAGCTCCCGACCCGGCGCCGGGGGTCGGGCTGGGCAGGGACGCCTCCGGCACCTCGGCCCCATTCCGAAGTTTTTCCCGAGCTTTTCCTTGGATGGCAGCTCAGGGAGTGCTTGGCTTGACCCCCCGGATTGGTGTTTTTAGGGAAAAAACGGTGCTTTTGCCTCCAGGGAACTGCGTTGTTGCCGATGCAGAGGATGGGAAAAAAGCAGGAGGGAAAAGGGGATTTTATGGATAAAAAGCTTTTCAAGTGGATCTTGGTTCTGGGATCTCGGTTCCAGGATCATGGGTCTGGAATCTTGAAGGAAAATGGGGTTGAAATGGGAATTTTAGGATCCCCAAGAAGCGTCTCCCTCGTGCCACTGGCACTGGGGTTGGACGCCTCCGGGGCCTCGGCCTCATTCCAAGGTTTTTCCTGAGCTTTTCCTTGGATGGCAGCTCAGGGAGCGCTTGGCTTGACCCCCCGGATCGGTGTTTTTAGGGAAAAACGGTGATTTTGCCTCCAGGGAACTGTTGGAAAAGTTGTTGCCGATGCAGAGGAGGGATAAAAAAAGCAGGAGGGAAAAAAGGATTTTATGGATAAGAAGCTTTTGGGTGGATCTCGGTTCCAGGATCTCGGTTCCGGGATCTTGGTTCCGGGATCTCGAGGGAAAATCGGGTTGAAATGGGAATTTTAGGATCCCCAGGAAGCGTCTCCCTCGTGCCGCCGGCGCCGGGATTGGGCCGGGTTGGGCTTTTCCATTATCCCGAGACTTCCCAAATTCCCGCCCTGTTCCCAGGGAAGCAAAGCCTGTGCCGTCCCTTCCCACTGGTTTTGGCTCCGTCCCTAAATCAGCTCCGACTCCCAAGTCGAGCCGGGCAGGGAAGGACCTGGATGTGTTGGGAAATCCGATGGATGTGTTGGGAAATCCGATGGATGTGTTGGGAAATCTGATGG